ACAACCGTTCCCACACCCTCTGCCAGCACAACTGTTCCCAAAACCCAACAGCACAATAATGCCCGCATACATACAGAGCTTCTTCACCAATAAAGACAAAGCGTGATGGGGAAGACATGCAATGACAGCCGTCCTACCACCATCTTTTCATCCGCTAGAATAGGGGCCACAGGAGCTCAGAAAGGGACTAGGGGTAGGACTGAGAAGTGATTGGAAACAGAGGGAGCCTGTGAGCCCAGGGAGGAAAACAGCAGACAACGCAGCCTAGACACAAATAATGGGGCAGTTTCGGGCACTACTCCAGAACACTGAAACAGGGGTCAGTGAAAGATAGAGAGTGGTAGTTGATGCAGGTTGAGAATGTCAGGGTCAGTGAAAGATAGAGAGTGGTAGTTAATGCAGGTAGAGAATGTCAGTACTCCTCCTTGGGCTAGCAGATGTTAGCAGCAGCAATCACCAAAGGACACTTCTCTCATTAAGGGACGCTGAATCCGGTTTGCAGCAGGCGCAGCTTTTCACCAACAAAACGGATCCCATCTTCTGGAGGATGCTCTTGTCACATCCAAAAGTGAAATCACCTGCGATCCTGAGGATGATTTAATTAAAACATAAAAAGTTAAAAACGACTGTGACTATTGAGAAAGTATCAGACTCTGACTTGCTAAATGCAGAAGCCATGATTGGAAAAAATGGCCGCCATTCTTGAACGCAAGAAAGCTTAGTGCTTACGCTTTTGTCGCCTTGAGAGTAACTGGTGGATGCTTGGATGGAAGTGTTTGACACTTTTCAGCCGCTGCCCCCCTCACTCTTTTTTTTCCTGTTCTCGTCTTGTTTTAACAAGAAACAGGACCTCACAAGCCTGGCATGATGTTCATTCTGGGCCGCAACGGTCCGGTTTCTTCTCCACCGGCAAGCCACCAAAGTTACATACAAAACAGGAATACACTAGATGCTTCCTTCCAAAGTTTGAATCCCAAGTTCGTCGAACCCTCTTTTTGCTGACCCGGATTTCTGCTGCGTGCCAAAAAGAAAATGAACTGGCGTGCGCACAAAAAGGTTTCTTTAGGCCTGGTACTGCCAACCATGTTGGTGGGGCAAACAAAGCCCCTGTGGACACGGCGGGTATACCGCCACATCCAAACAAAGTAGCTGGGAAAGGCACTGCTGGATTAAGGCCAACGGACCCCTGACCAGCATGGATTGCTCCTTTCGAGGAGGATTGAACTGGCGCGGGCACAAAAAGGTTTCTTTAGGCCTGCCATCCATGTTGGTGGGACAAACAGAGCCCCTGTGGACACGGCTTGTATACCGCCGCATCCAAACAAAGTAGCTGGGAAAGGCACTGCTGGATTAAGGCCGAGGGACCCCTGATCAGCACGGATTGCTCCTTTCAAGGAGGATCGACTGTCAGATGGCCTTCCCTTCTGAGATTCCTCAAACTGATGGTCATGTCCGATACACATGACCTAGGAGGATTGACTTTTCGATACACATTACCGATAAGAACCTCTCCATCTCGGCCTGTTGTCGATGATCATAGCAATTTAAGGGGCTTTGCTTCCAGGATAGAGAGGCGCTGCTTCCAGGAATGGCATGGCCACGTTCCTGAAGTGATATCCCAATTTCTCCATCTCGGCCTGTTGTCGATGATCGTAGCAATTTGAGTTTTAAGCCTTCAGCAACCACACGTGTATAAAATCTTTCTTCGTGGCCTCGGGGCATGTTGCCGATTGCTGATTGCCGATATTTGGATGCGTGCTGATCTTTGGATACGTTAAGGCTCTTGCAAGTTTCGGTGACTACTTCGCATTTCTTGATCTCACGATTTATAGGTGGTATCAAAAGATGTGAAAAAAAAAAAAAAAAAAAAAAAACAGGGAAGAGTATGGCTAAATGGTACACACCATACTGGCATGTGTGTGTGCGCACTGTGCCACATCCACGGCGAAAACGGATGTATAAGAGCTAACAGACCCCAACGATGTAGTCATTAGCGACTCAATGATAGGCCTAGGCCACAGTGCTACACAGCACCGGCCCCATCAGGATACCCCGGTGGGTCAACTCAACTGTCTGGGCTGTCAGAAGATTTGTTTTCCCCTTCTTTTTATTTTGCGGTGCATTTCTTTTTTTCACAACTGGGTGCGGCTTGCGCCACCGCATTTCTTTCATCGTGCACCACATCTGCCTCTGTTTTCTGTGCATGCTGTGCGCCGCTTGCGCCACCGCATTTCTTTCATTGTGCTCCATATTTGCCTCTGTTTTGCAGTGGATGGCAGCGAGACATCTACGGCTAACCCTGCCATTGCCTACCACGGCACAGCAACTATGGGTGGGCAAAGGAAGCCGGGGGAATAGGAACCGGACTGTCGCTCCCCAGAATGGCAGGAGCCAGAACCTCTTTTTTTCTTTTTTCTTTTTTTGAAGGAAGACAACAGTATAGGAGCTGTCTCTTATACACATCTAGATGTGTATAAGAGACAGGGGGATACCAGACCCAGAACAGCAACTGAAGGCCCTTCAAACAAAGTGGATACTCAAGCTCATTACACATCCCCAGCTACCATGGGTACCAGAGCAAAGGACCAAATTAGAAGGTTGACCAAGTATAAAACCCCTCCCACCATGGAGGGACTACCCCTCCCACCATGGAGGGACTATTTTGGTAAACGTGTTAAAAGCTGGGATAGGAAAGGAAGAGGAACAGGAGGAGGGAAGAATGGGTGTGACAGGGGCCAGGAGGTGGTCGTATTGGGCACAGCTTCTGAAACTGTGCTCGGAAATCTTCCCAGCAAAGGTAAGAGAACCGAACACAAGGGAGAAAGTCCTTAGACAGCCACTGTTGTGCACAGCAGTTTGCAAGGACTCACAGAGGAAACCCAGGATGCTCACAGCAAAAGACTCCTAAGTGGGGAACCTGGCTCGAGCACGACATATGGCAGGTGAGGCACCTCTGGTCTGAATACAATCACTGGTGGAAGACAACGCGAGAGCTAACAAGGGAGATGAAAGGAAGCCATAGATTGTTAGAAAACCTTTAATGACGTCCTGATCTATTCCCAAGAAGTGGACCAGATTATTGAAGGGACCGCAGCTTTGGGGGTTGGGGGAATGGGCCACATGGAAGCACAGCGGGACACCAACGAAGGCTTGCAGAACAGGCGGACAGACGGGACCGGGAGGGGAATGGTTGAGCACGGAGATGTAAAAAAGACAGGTCCCGGGAGCCCACACAAGTCAGTTCGACAAGCAGACACGCACCCCGATCACCACAAAGAAAGATCACATCAGGAACGTAAATTCTTCGGTGTCTATCGTAACTTCGTAAGAGTGATAGACACCGAAGAATTTACGATGTTCGCACCGACAACAGCAGTACAGGATTATTATACAACACAGCTGGGATACAGGCTCTGGAAAAGGTCTTATCTGCCGGCAGGATACTTAGCCTTGAGATGTGAAAAGAGAGTGGAGGTACGTACCCAGGGAAAAGGTAGCAATCTTTGTTGCAAACTATTCGCTTAGGCAAGGTTCGGATCACACAATGGCTTATTTTCCACGTGTCATTGCCAGTCAACCCATGGTTGTATGAGCGACGAAGCCGTTTTTTTTGTTTTTTTTTTCCGAACAACACCCCCTCCAGTGTTAGTGGTGCTGATAAGAGCAGGCACCACTAGCACCTGGGGAGAGGCTCCATCTATTGGTGGGGAGCATCACCTGCTGGAAAGCGGGTCCAGCGTCCCATGTACAGACTGAGATTGGAGTGCAGTAGAGAAATGTGCACTCAGTGCAGAGAAGGGATACCAGAGACAGTGGTGCATTGCCTCCTGCAATGCCCAGAAGCGGTATACATTTGGGCGGAAGCCAGGGCACTGTGGGGACTAATAGCAGATAGTCCCTTCCCCGAGAACATGGAGATGCTTGTGGTGGGAAGTGAGGTCCCCCAGACATGGCAGCAACACCAGAAAGTGCATCTTTCAGCTCCTAAGGCCATACGCACTCTGGACGATGTGGAAGCGCAGGTGCCAACAGGCGATTGGGAAAAGACCAATGCACAGATTGGAAGCGATAGAGATTTATTATACCCTGCTGGAAACTGATATACGGGCACAATGGCGGCGGGCAAAAGTAGACAGGGGAACCAGAACCCGGCTAGGCCGAGGAATTAATGGGGAGGTTCCAGAAAAAGGTGCGGACCCAAGGAAAAGTGGCTACAATAGAAGGAAATAGGAAATAGGTTCTTATGCCAATGGTTCAGGGAGAGACAGTCTCAGACCTTGTTAGGGACGCGGAATCATTGATCCCAAATAGGGGATATTCAAATAATAGGCATTGAAAAGGAACCGAAAAGTCTGGGACAGGCTTGGTAGAAGACGGTAGAAAATAGTTAAAGAAGTTCGGGAGGACAGTAGAAGCAACAGGAGGAGTTAGGGTTTAGGGTTTTAGCTCAAGATTAGGCGTTACACTGGTTACAGGGAAAAGCTGGTTATCTTTTCTCATCCTTCTCGGGTCCCTTATTGGGTCCTGTCAAAAGCGTAACTCTGGGTAATGCTCCTAGTTCCGGCCTTTATGTCGGGTGGCCGGCCCCTCTTCTTCAAATTGCGCAATGGAAGCGTTAAAAAAAAAAAAAAAAACGAGAAGAAGAAGAAGAAGAAGACGGAACCCCCCATCCTCCCCCGAATACAATGCACCCTCAAGGTGACAGTATTACGACTGTATTGGTCCGGGTCTAGCATGTATACATTCTCGATTAGGGTGCATCGTGTTCAGGCGAAATGGTAGTGAATATGCTTCCATCAAAGTGGAACAGCACCCCCACCTCAAGTCCTGTTTAGCAGTCACTCACCAGCTCAGCTCCGTGCGCAGGATGATGCATAGGAGTCGAGAGACCTGCCGCCAAACAATTATTACAAAAAAAGAACACAGTTCACACTTCGTACAGAAGTTATCACGTCATGTAAGGAAAAAAGTTGTGCAGGACATACTGTGTCCGCCTCTTCACAGAGAATTCAATTTCATTGAGCCCATGTTGGAGACAATCCAATAAGATACTGAGATCGTCAATGAAAATGAATGGGATTAGCTTCAAAAAACGCACGTACGTGCATGTACGAAGCAGTCGGGCTTCACCTTCTGACCCGAGAGCTGGTAATGGCCACCCATGAGACAGTGAAGGCACCAAGAACAGCAGACAAAGTTGTGATCGTAACTACCGCCCACTCATGTTCCCTCTTCCCTGCTGGCACTCTCCAGCACACATGGTTGTACCTCTCCTCCTCCTCCTCCTCCTCCTCCCCCTCCTCCTCCTCCTCTTCATGTTGTGTCCCTTCCCAATCCCCTATTTCCCACCCTTGGATGTTGCAAGGCTTCTGACTTCCTACCCAACACCCTGCCTGATTGCCGCTCGGGACATCCTTATCTGAATCATTAACCAAGCCTGCTTTATGTTTGGTGTTTTCACGATCATTCTCATCGACATCACGAGCCGTGTCGGAACTCCTGGTTCTTCCCAACAAGTGAGAGGCACATACTCTCTCTCCTGAAGCATAGTCTGTGTTACCACTCACTTCTCCGTGAGCAAAACAGCGACAAGCTGTGCTTTCGGCACTGTTCTCTTTCCGTCTTTGCTGCTGTCGTCCTTGACAATTACACTTCCGACGCAAGAGGACTTTAGGAGGAGCGAGCCGAAAATGGGAGTAACCGCAGCTCTCATCAACTTCCGTTCCAAAAACCGCGTTCCAAATGCATCCAATCAGCTGTCCTTTCTTCGTTGCGTTTGATGCAGTCATTTGACGGCTCTCCAGCTGAGCTGCGACCTTGCCTGCATCCGCCGTGCTGTCATTCTTATGCAAAAGCGGCTGAAAAGCATCCAAGAAACCAAAATGAAATTTCAAAAGGAAAAGTAAAGAAAGTCAGCAAATCCATTTTGAAACAATGCACTCTTAGGGTATACTGAGTATACTCACACTGGGACTTTCCTGGATGTATCTGATCATCATGGCACCGTAACTTCAGTTGCCAAAGGCCTAGTGAGAGCATATATGCCCTTGTGAAGGCTTAAAGCACCAGTACATGCCAGGTATCAGCCGTGGGCCCCTTTCGGAGGCCGCCTACCGCCGACTCATTTTATCTACGGTGCTCGGCCTCCTGAATTTCCGGAGAGGCTCAAAACAGGTTCTCCAGTTGCCCGGGGGCATGTACTGGTGGTTTTAAAATTAAAAGATTGACAGAACCGTGGCCGTAGCCTCGCCAGCCGGAATCTCATGGCCAAATGATGCGTCCACAGAACCATTGACCTACAGGCTACAGGTTATGAGCTCAAATCCTTCACAACTTCACACAACTTTTGAGACCTAAGCTGGCATCGGAGAAATGGAGAAAGAAAAGGGGAAAGAAAAAAAGGGGAAAAAAGGGGGGGAAAGGGGAAAAAAGGGGAAAAAGGGGGAAAAAAGGGGGGAAAAAAGGGAAAAAAAGGGGGGGAAAAAACAAAACTCAACCAAGTCTGTACACCACAGCAGCACAAGAAGTGGACAGGATAGACCGATTGCATTTGCCCAGGGCATCTCGATGGGTGAGACTGATTGAGAAACTCACCGCATATCGTGCATGCACTGGAAAGGCCACATGTGCCTGCAGTCGATGGCAGTGGCTGTCATTACCGGAACCTTGGCGGAAATTCACAGTCGTAGGGGCTCTGTTGTAACACCAGCTTGGAGGGCAGGGGCATGTTGGTCCCTCTGCGCCGTCAATCTCCATCCTCGCTTGTTTTTCCAGATAATGGCACCCTTTGCGTCGGTTTTCTTGGCCAGAGTCTTCAGGGCGAATCTCCGCTGGTGTCAGGTCCATGGTCACAACAACGATCGACTGGCTGCATAGTGGAGCTGGCTGCTCAATGTCTACAGCTCCATAGATGTCTACAGGGGGCAGCACTGCAACATCATCATACATGTTTCACAGGGACAACATCGCTCAACCTGTCAGTAACAGTAAGAGCAAATGTAACAGCAAGTAAGAGTAACAACTGTGAGTAACATTAAGTAGCAGCTAGTAAAAGTAACAGGAAGTAACCGAGATGCATCTAGTGCTGGATGAAAACTAATTCCAAACCCCCTCAGGGCCTGAAAGGTCGAGGAGGCAGATGCCAAACAGAAAGAAAAAAAGAAAAACAAAGAGTGAGAGTAACAGTAAGTAACAGTAACAGTAACAGTAACAGTAACAGTAACAGTAAACCAGGGTAACAGAGTATGAGTACCAGAGTACCCAGTAAGAGTGAGAGTAATGGGAAGAGTAACAGAGTGAGAGTAACAGTAAGTGCAAAAGCGTGAGGGTAATGATAAGAGTAACGGAGTAAGAGAAACAGTAAGACTAATTGTAACGCGCGGCTTTAGGCCTCAGCAGGTAGGCCTCCACCTTGGGCCAGCCAGAAAAATTGTGCCCAGCCCTTAGTGAAGGCCGCAGCAGAAAAAGGGGTCCGCCAGCTCTGAGTGAAGGCTGGCATGAGACAGTTGGAAGGAAGGCTGGGTACAGCGTCTGCAATTAACCAGTAGGCCCAGCCTCCAGGTTAGTCGCAGAGACTGGGGCCCTGGTACACAGTCCGGACTTTTCTCTGGGCCTGGTACACAGTCCAGTCGTTTCTTTGGGCCTGGTACTATGTCCGGAAGTTTCTCAGCCTGGGAAGAACCCAGTCCCAGTCAGGCAGTCACGGCCTCCAGGAAGTAACAAAAGGGAGGAGGCCGCAGCATTCCACACATTGGGAGGCACTGGCTGCCAGCACTCGCTCTGGGGAGAGCACACGTGGCCAGGCCATGGCTCCTTGCAGAAGGGAGAGGAGCAGCCACGGCTTATAGCTACACTGCCCAGCGGCAGCCATAGATATGCTAAGATGGAAGGAGGAGGGTGGTGCTGTAGCTGGGGTGATCAGGGGAGAAGGACAGTGGTGGAACAGGAGGACTTTCCTGGCGATAATCAAAGAGCACGCTTGTGGTGGTCAGACTCTGCAGCAGCATTGGTAGGTGAGAGGAGTGTACGGCAGGAGTGAGTACGAGGCAAAGAAGTCGACTGCGTATAGAGAGAGGGTAGCCAGAGTAGTATAGGCGGCCACTTCATAGTAGAGCTGCTACATTGTGGTTGTATTGATGAGTGCAGGCAGGAAGTTGGGCTTTGTTTATCAAAATACTTCAGTGCCAGTGTGTTCTAATTTAGTGTGCTCTCGGCTTTGTAATTCTGCTTTTGACTTTGCTCGTGCATGGCTGTTCAAATTTAAGTCTTTTGCTGCTCGGAAATTTTGTGTTCCCATTGATTGCTTCCTTGCAGCAAGAGTAACAGGGCAAGAGTGCCAGAAAGAGTAACAGTAAGAGTAACAGTAAGAGTAACAGTAAGAGTAACAGCGGTAAACAGTAAGAGTCGCAGAGGTAAGAGTAACAGTAAGAGTAGCAGTGAGAGCAGCAGTGAGAGTAACAAGAAGAGTAACGGGAAGAATACAGGAAGAGTAACAGGAAGAGTAACAGGAAGAGTAACAGGAAGAGTAACAGTAAGAGTATCAGTAAGGGTAACAGTAAGAGTAACAGTAAGGGTAACAGGAAGAGTAACAGGAAGAGTAACAGTGGTAAGAGTAGCAGTAACAGCAACTAGCTGCTGCAAAGAATAAGGCTGAGTTCGAAAGATAGACTGCGCACCATAAAGAGCAGGATCATATGCAGGCAAAAGTACTACTCTCTAGTTGGACTGATTGGTCATCCTAGCAGCTAACGCAAGCCGAACTCCTCTCCTCTCCTCTCCTCTCCTCTCCTCTCCTCTCCTCTCCTCTCCTCCACTGTACTCCACTCTGCTCCACTGTACTCCAATCTACTACATTCTACTCCACTGTACTCCACTCTACTCCCCTCTCCTCCACTCCACCGTCAGGAGTCACTGTCAGAATCCCGGGAGGGTCACTGATGATTCCGCAAGAAGACAAAAGAAGACATATGCCTACAAAATGTAATTGGGTGGATGATGAATCTACTGCAGAGAGCGCATGGCCCTCAGAACCATTTGCAATACCACCCCTCACCCCTCCAGGCTGCGCACATACTGCATCCCAAGAGTCAGGCTATGTCTGCTTCGCTTCCTCTCGGTGACTGATTCGACAAGTCGAAACAGGGAAAAACTGCTAATAAGACCATCTACCTGCATGGCAAGAAGACAGAAAGAGTCCTGCCTGCCCAATGCAACCAAAAGGATGACGACAAAAGGTCCGTGTGGAAGGGGGGGAATCCGCATTGAAAAAAATGAGATAAAGTTTCCAAACGATTGTCCAGAGCTTGAATCAAATGCCTAGTGGCACGACCGAAGCGGACGATCATAAAATTTCCCCCCCTTCATCTGCAGAAAGCGAATGGCTGCGGGAAACATTCGCAATCTCACCCCTCCAGACAGTGCGCAGACTGTATGCCGAGAGTCATGCCAGTTCTGGTATGCGTCCTCTCTGCAACTGATTGGTCCTTGAAACAATGACAATGCAAACACGATCAGCTTCCCACTCAAACGAACGGCGCAGTATACACATTGTTGTCGTTAGAGAGGGAAATCGATATGTTGCCCATTGCCCAGTAGAGGGAAGATGGACAAAACCGTGGTTTGGTTCCGTTGATTGACGACACACCACATCACGTCCATACAAGCTTTTGATGTTGAACGGCGGAGCGATATGCAACGACTTGCTGTTTTCTGGTCGTCTGTAGCCTCTCTTTGTCGAGGCTGTACTATAGGTAGGATAGAATCATAACAACAGATATGTCTGCCACTGGAGAGTAACTAGATAGAATGGCTTGGTTACGTTGCTTGACGACATGCCACCTCATGTATACACTAGCTTTCCATGTTAAGGAATAGGTGTTATGCACCCCCGTGAAGAGAGAAATATAAGACAGTGGTTTGGATGTTCAATTGATTAATTACATGCCACCTTATCTATATAAGTTTTTTGTGGGAAGAGAGCGATATCTGCACCAGCAGAGACAGAAAACTAGACAGATCAGTTTGGTTTCGCGGATTGATAAGACGCCACCTCACCTTTATCGTTCATCATTCGCCAGACTTCAAACTTGTCAGCATAAGCATTCCGCGGAAGAGACTGCACAAATGCCACCTCCCATCCATCTCCTCCTTCAGAGGGATCGCACTTATCTTTAGCTTCTCCATTCCTTGTAAGACGATCTAACGCCTTTTCAAAAGCCACCTTTAGATGAAGCACCCGATGCGCTCCTGACCCCATCAGCTCCTGAGATAACTCCACAAGCATCCAGCCGTGACTGGTGGTGCCGCACACGGCGCCGCCATCTCCTTCCATCAAGGAGGTAGCAGCAATAGCAGCAGCAGCACCACCAGCACCACTACCATGAACCTGCATTGGGATTTCCAAATCCAGCGTCTGCTTCCGTGCAGCGTCAGCGCTTGTCCTTTCTCCTCCTTGTCCCGCTCCGATCTCCTCACCTGTCGTCGCAAAGAGACGAAACCCAGAGCCACGGGGTCTCTTTACCGGCACATAAATGCTGTCAGCCGCTGAGCACTGCTGCTCAGCGCTCTTCGCATCCATCCCTACATGACTATCTGGTTTGGCCTCCTTCATGCGGCTTGGCTTTACGCCCCCATCTGACTCACCAGGCGACCCTTCTGCATGCTTTCCACTATCGTACACGCTGGAGCGCAATCCATAGCCAGCTTCATCATACTGAACTGTTATATGCCTGACCATGCCATTTTTTGCAGACCACTGCTTGAGTTCAAATGTAAGTTGCCGCTTCTTAACCTGCATTCAAGCAGACATAACCAAGCAGTGCAAGCAGCCGCATAGCCAGACGAAGGAAAAGCAGCAAAAGAAGAGCAAGGGTCACTCACTAGTACTGGGACAGAAGTGCCCTTTGGGACATCACAACCATAAAATTGGACATGGGAAGAGGATTAGCATGGCCTGAAAAAAAAAAAAAAAAAAAAAAAAAAAGGACTCGCATGGCCTCCATGCATTCAAGGATTACAGGCATAAATCAGAATTTTTTTTTTAAAGAGAAAAAAAAAGCAATGGTGTCAGCCTCCAAATAGCAAGATTGTGGCTACCGTCTCCACCCGAATAGAACGCCCGGTAATTATCGCCGTATCTGGGTTGAAAGTTGTGCCAAATACAGCTATAATGACCGGGCGTTCTATTCGGGTGAAGACGGAAGTCCTTCCCGTCGGGCCTGGCTGGCTTTGGTGCCAAGATGCTAGAACAGTGAGAATAGGAGAAGCCATAGCCCCAGAACAAGGCTGCATTTTTTGTTTAGAATACACGGTCGGGGGTTCAACCAAGGGCTGGATGTTCCCAGTGACCCCCTTTCACGACGAGCTCGAGTCTTCCAATCAGGTTCTTTACAACTAGTATCTTCAACGACGTTGAAGTAGTTGTGATCGTCTGGTTGTGAGTTCTACAACGTCTCATTTATTTGCATGCTGACTGTACAAATAAGCAGTCGATATGGTGGTTCCACTAATGGTTAATAGGTGGTGTCATTTTCGGCGAATTTTTCACCGAAACTGCCATATTTCTCTGAATTTTTTATTTTTTTCTTGTTTCTTTTTTTGTGTGATATCTATATGCTTTAGGGTATATCTGTATTCAGTTTCAACGTAATTGGACCAGTAACAAAAAAGTTGGCAAAAACACCGAATTCAGAGAAACATTTGGCGAATTCCGAAAGCTACTCCGAATAGGGTTTTATAGTGTTTTTTTTTTTTTTTTTTTTNTTTTTTTTTTGGCCTGTTTGTTCTTTTGATGTTTGTATTATGACCCTGCATTGTTTGTTCGCGAAATGTTTGAGGACATTGTTTGTGGTGATGCGGCGAAAACCCCCGAATTTTGGGCCTTCCATTAACCATCTCTCGGTGGTTCCGATGGTCGCCCCCCCAAAAAATGTTAAAAAGAAAATAGACGCAAGGTAAAATTGTATATCAAAACAAACATCCGGCATCATCAAAACGGATAGGCCTCAAAACTTCAATCTGATTTGCACAGCCTTGCTGAAGTGCCCTCCGAACCGCGAGAAATAGTTGCCCATTACACTGCTCAATAACTCCGCTCGCTTTGAGTCCTCTTACCTATTTGGCAAAGGGACCGCTTCGCAAAAGGGTTTTGCAACTTGGTATATGGATGCAAAATTTTCCCTCTGCTCTCCCTGTCATCTTTGATTTGCTGCACTCACTGCACTGCTATTAGGTTTAGGGGAGTCCAGCCTCTCACGCACGGCAGGAACGCAAGTCACCGCTCATCATGTCGTAAAACCAAGAAGGCAGGTGTTCTCATCCGTTCTGCTTTGCAACCGATGTGCAGCTCATTCACATGTAGGGGGACAAGGGACTGACTGATTTGGCCAGCTGATAGGCAGAAGGGACCGACCGGTTTGTGCAGCTCAGGAGTCCACGACACGACTCCCCAATTGTTTCCAGTCTGCACTTGTGTCGCTTGGATAGGGAGGGCATAACTCTTCTCTACATCGCTGGGGGCATACCTTCAAGAGAGAGGAAATGCAAACGACGAAGGGGGAGGGGGGGGGAGGGGGGAGAGCAAGGGAGGGAGCGGAAAACTGGGATCAGATAACAAGAATGCCGAATGAAGGAATCTGATAGAGAGGGTGTGTGAGGGAGCGGAGGGACATCACAGACAGGCATGCAGATTGGAGAACAGAAGGAGACTAACAAACAGCCAACAAGAATGGACGGACGGATCACCATGAATGAACAAATGAAGGAATTGAACCTCAACACATCTGACTGACCGTGTGTGCTTGCTGCCGTTATGCGATCTCCCTCCCTCCCTCCCTCCCTCCATCCATCCATCCCTTGACAAAGCTCCGCCAGCATCATAAGTTCCTTCCCTGAATCACATGACATGTCTGTTGTGCCATAGCCCAAAAGAAAGTGACCGAGATGCCAAATATAGATGAGACAAAATACACAGACACAGACCTTCCAGTGCAGTTTAGACGCATTTGGCTGATTCCACAAGTTCGCAGCAGACCTGATCTCCTCCCGCAGAGCGGAGAAGACACCTGTGGTCTCCTCCTTCCCCTTGGTCCAGCAGCTGTGCTGACTGCTCTTCTCTTCTCCACGACTCTGCAGCGGTTCTATGGATTGAAAGAAGGAGCCCAGAGGATAAGCAGCAGCGACCAGTTCATCGCTGATGTCCATTCGCTTGACTCTATCCGATGCTGATTCATTGGACGATGACGAGCAATCAACAGGCTGAGAGAGGTCTGTCCTCCCACACCTTGTCAGCTTCTTCGCACACAGATGAGTAGGGGGGTTGCAGACAACACCTTCAGCAAACCATACACCTGTGTGGGTGCTCCCACGGTTGCTTTTGCCGCTATCACCACCATGACAAACGCCTTTCTCCTCCTCCTCCTCCTCCTCCTCCTCCTCCTCCTCCTCCTCCTCCTCCTTTGCACCATCCCTCCTCCCATCTCCCCGATCCTTCTGCATTCCATCACCATTACGCCGTGATAACCTTGGATTCAATCGCAATTGCCTTCCCGACCGTTGGATTGGCTCTGATCCGTGGCTCCAGCATCCGACGTGTGCAGCTCGCAGCACCGGAGGAACATCGGCAGCAAGCCAGGTTGTCGCTGCAAGTGGTGCCGAAAAGACACAGCCCTCTGCCGCTTCAGGCGATGCTGTCAATCCGACGTCCATCATTCCCCTTCGTCCGGTTTCTCCCAAGGCCTCAGCCTTTTCATTCCTTGCCGCCATCCGGTCATCATCCTCCCCCTCACCTGGAGGACACTTGTCCCTCCTTCCCCTTTCCTTCGGATAAACAGTGGTGGTACGACTGTCATCAGCAAGATGACTGTTGCGAGAGCCGTCATCATCGCGACTCGGCCTCGTCGTGATCATTGCTGCTTGCAAGGGACAATCTACAGGGGCTAGCCGGAACAGCTGCCAGAAGACCCTGCATAAGTACAAGGATACAGAGATCCACACGTCGTTCTCCGGAGACCGGCCAATCGTTCCCGCTCCTTTTGCAGTCAAAGTCATCCGCTCTGCGAGCCAGCTTCCGTCTTTCCTCCTGGCGTTTACTTCTCCCGGTGATGCTGAAGTTCCTGAGCCTTTTCGCCCGTCGTCGACTGCGCCGTCACCCGTTTCTCTTCTTCCTCCTCCTCCTCCACCTCCTCCTCCTCCTCCTCCTCCTCCTGCTGCTGCTGCTGCTGCTGCTGCTGCTCGCCCTCCTTCCTGGATATGGACAACCAGCTCAACTCCCAAGCCATCTGCAGAAAACTGCCCTGCCACAACGCAACCCGCCGCCCATCAAATGCATCGCACAAGACAATCGTACACATCAGATACATACACTCGACACCAGTGCAAGCTGTTAGAATGTGGTTTTCCCGTAGATCTATTAAAAATAATAATAAGAATAAGAATAAGAATAAGAATGGGCCTTTTTTACACAATTTTTTCAGAGACGTGAACGTGCTTTTTGCAAAGGCAAAAACAGTTATGTGTGGTCTCCGACTTGATGGATCATACCATGTTCTGGCGATGGGGAATGCAGGCCGGAGATGTACTGGATCATATGGACCAGACATTTCTTTTCTTGTCTTGTCTTGTCTTATCTTTACTTCTGTCTGAAAAGACAACGGCCTTGGAATATTATCAAAAGTTTTTTCTTTCTGATTGGCCCAAATCAATCATTTTTGCCATGTTCTGGCATTCATGTTGTGTCCGCAGGCATGTTTACAGGTTTGTCCACAGGTCAGGTTTGTCGACGACGACGACGACGACGACGACGACGACGAAGAAGAAGAAGAAGAAGAAGAAGAATAGTTGAAACAGTGGCCAACTGCCTTTCGTACACGCTTCGTCAGCTCTTCAATACATAGCCACGCGTACTCATCTCAGCTCACGCGCACAATCCAGCAGCAGCAGCAGCAGCAGCAGCAGGAGGAGGAGGAGGAGGAGGAGGAGGAGGAGGAGGAGGAAGAAGAGAAACGGGTGACGGCGCAGTCGACGACGGGCGAAAAGGCTCAGGAACTTCAGCATCGCCGGGAGAAGCAAACACCAGGAGGAAAGACAAGCTGGCTCGCAGAGCGAATGAAGAAGAAGAAGAAGAAGAAGAAGAAAAAGAAGAATTTAAATAGTATTGAATTGAACCATGTTCAACCATACAAATCCAAGACAACATAGAAGAAGAAGATGACGAAGAAGAAGATGACGAAGAAGAAGACGACGACGAAGATGACGAAGAAGATAAAGATGACGAAGAAGAAGACGATGACGACGAGGCCGACCGCTATGCGTCCATGTTCAACCATAGAAAGCCAAGACAACATCCTGACTGACATACATGCTCAACGCGCACATTCCCCGAGGCGCGTTTCGCCTGGTTGCGCACCTGGACTTGTCAAGGGGCTTGCCACACTCCCGCATCCACCAAACGAACCACCTGAGCACGAAGAAGTGACTTGACAATCATAAACCACACACACCGACAGACAGCTAATGCCGCCAATCAACAAGAAGAAGAAGAAGAAAGAGAAGAAGAAGAAGAAGAAAGAGAAGAAGAAGAAGAAGAAGAAGAAGAAGAAGAAGAGGAGGAGAAGAAGAAGACGAAGAAGAAGAATAGGGAACAGGGAGGCAACGACAATCGTCCACATATGCAGAAATGTTAACATTGCAGCACCTGCACAGACTGAGAATCCATAGCTCTCAACGAGCTCGACGACGACGAAGAAGAAGAAGAAGAAGGAGAAGAAGAAGGAGAAGAAGAAGAAGAAGAAGAAGAAGAAGAAGAAACTAGACTGCGAACACGTAAAAGTAGGGAGAGCGGTAAAACAAGAGGGAGGAGGACAAGGAAAAGAAGGGATGGAGGGGAACAAAACGGAGGAGGGAGTGGGGGTGAGGTAGCGGGGGAGGAGGAGGGGGAGAAATTATACGTTGCCTATCAACGACGAGGGCATCCAACTGAACGCGAAATGCAGAGCCGCAACACTCTCGCTTGGAGCAATGACGTCATCCTTATCCTCTGTTGATGTGGCATTGCTGCAATAGGGCAGATTCTGCCAGTCAAGAGGGGGAGAAGAATATGTCTCTTCCGCCTGATTACCTCTTCCCTCTCCCATCTCCATCTCCATCCCCTCCTGCTCCCGACTCCCCGTATCATCAGACACCGGAGGAAGGATCCACGACTCAACTCTCGCTAGAAATTTCCCCCGGACACGCTTTTTCCCGCGCTTGGCGCACACTGCGCGCCATTCTTCCCGCCACCGATTGCCAGCTGTCCCGGCCTCCGCAGCAGCAGAGGCGAGTTGGCCTTGATCTTGCTCATGATCTTGCTCTTGCTCTTGATCTTGATCTTGATCTTGATTACCTCCCGCGTGATCTTTCTCCAGATTCGCTTCAAATGTGGAGAACGATGATTGACCCTCCGATTGACCCTTCGATTGACCCTCCCATTGACCCTCCGATTGACCCTCCGATCGTCCATCAGCGTACCCTGCGAGGTCGGAAGAAGGAGAATGTCGAACAGCCCTCCTCCCTTCCACGTCAAGCTGCACAGAATGACTGCTTTCGAGGCTTTGCCACGTCGACGATCCATCGCTACCCTTGATCTTACACAAGGACGAAGATGATGATGGATCCCAACCCCTGGTCCTCCATGCCTCCGCCGCTCCAGACCCCTCAGAAGTATAGGTGCCAATCACGAGTTCAAAGACTGTCAAAATTCCTAGAAACAAGCGACCCTTTCCCGCCCAATCGGCAGCCATTGGATTGCAGGGGACAAAAGGAAGGGGGGGGGGGGGAAGGTAATTCAGTTGCCACGTGGCATACACATCGATTGGCCCATTCCCCTGGCAGAGGTCCCGCCTTGGGACTCAGAGAGCAGCTGCCTGGGCGCGAATACCGCAAGGAACCAGTTGGCCTACCATAGCCCAGTACACCCATGAGCTGTTGAAATCCACAACTGCAGTCCTGGAACTTTTTACCTTTTCTGATAAAAATGAGAGAATGCTGTCCCGTTAATAATCTGTTGCTCAAGATTCTGATTCTGACTCTGCTTGCTGTGTTCCCTGAACAAGTTTGTGATCAACCATTCTTGTCTGTATGCCATGTGCTGAGTTTCGACTCTGTGTGTGTCTGTGTGTGTGTGTGTCTCTGTGTGTGTGTGTGTCTGTGTGTGTGTGTGTGTGTCTGTGTGTGTGTGCGTGTCCAAGTGCGCGTGCATGTATCTGTGTGTGGGCCTCGCTGCACTACTCTCGACATGCACAAAAGACAAAAATCATGGCGGTGCATCTTTCCATATTCTAGCGGAAGATTCACTCTCGTTTTGCACATTTCAAGAGTAGTGCAACGAGGGCCTGTGTCTCAGTTAGGTGGGCCGAGATGGTGTGATTGAGAATTGGCGGGGGGAAGTTGCCGGAAGTCGGCTTCAATTAAAAGAGTGGCAAAAAAAAGAGTACTCGGCCCAGCTATCGGCCGCGGGAAAAAAAAGAGTAGAAACGTTTCTAGTCGGATGAATTTGGGCGCTCCTGTAGTAGCCCGTACGTTTCCTAAAATTGTGGCACGTTAACGGGCACGACGCTAGGTTCCTAAAATCGTGGCGCGTTAACGGGCACGACTCTAGGAAGTACTGCTGGTTGTGATGTTTGAATCTTTTTTCTTTTTTTCTTTTTTTTTTCTTTTTTTTTTCTTTTTTTTTTTCCGATGGACCACGGATCAGATATTAAACTGATCAGAACAGATACTACACTTGATCTTAGCCAAAAGGCCGAGAAAGGTATGTGATGTTTGAATCATGTAATCAGCATCCAACCAAAAAGAAAAGAAAAGAAAAAAGTAATCAGCATCCAATCTGCTTGGCAGTTGCTGTTCGTAGGGGAAGTTGTCAGAAGTAGTGCTGTCATGCGTGTGAGCCGTTGTGGTATCCACCACAGGGGCCCCCTTGGGCCCGACTGTAGGTTAGGGGGTTGATCAAGGCATTAGGGGGCTCCTTGTTCTTTTGGGCCTCAGGATTGTTCTCTTGGTTTGCCTCAGTCCCTGTTTCAGTCTGGTTCAGTGAGGTGCCCCTTAGGCCGAGTGTATGTGCCAGCACAGTGGGACCGAGACAGGCCCAGTGAGCATTCCATAGGCCAGGTTCACTTCGGGTTTAGACGCCAGACTTGGGGTCTCGCCAGGTTCACTTCGGGTTTAGACGCCAGACTTGGGGTCTCGCTCCACCACTGTCCGCTATACAGAATTTCGGAGAGTTCGTGTATAGCTGTCAGAGTACCAAAAAACGGAGATTTCGTGTATAGTCTGCGCCATCACTCCACTTACTATCCGCTATACAGCTCTCCAATTCCTGAGTTCACTGGACCCGCGCGGGGCGGGGGGGCGCAGCCAGGGTATCTGAGATTGTAGCTTCGGGGGCTGCACGGATGATTATGCGAGGCAGCTTATTTTCTTCACTTTTCCATCGTCGCATAGCTCTAGCTCCATCAGCACAACATCAGACCAGACAGACCCGTGTTCGAAGCCAAATGATGATAAGTAAGAAAATAAATATCACTTTTCCATTGTAGCTTAGCTCTA